CAATGCTTTTCTTCAGTCAGAACAAAACTATTTAAGCTGGAATATAAATATATTTGTAAAAATCACACATAAACTCGATACCACGACGAGCAGATTGAACTTCAATAGAAATAAACACAATCACAAATACAATTTTTCTTTTTCAAAATCTCAGAGTAAAAATTAATTTTAATTTATTGAAAATTACACGAAATCTACGACACGTTCGGAATCGACGAAACAATAAAGTATAAATTAACTCTTTGAATAAAACCTAAAATTTTATAACCCCATAAAAATATTGTCATAACCTAACTCCCACTCCATATGATCAGTGCCTTTCACATTTCACTGCCATTATATTGTTAACAATTATTTATATTAATTTTAATTATTAAATGGAATTCAATAAAATTCATTTTAGGAGATTTCTATACTATTCTACAAGTTTGGGTCAAATTGAACGCGCAGTATTCAAACTATAGACTTGCCAAATAATACGATTGCTGATTCGAAAGCGAAAGTATTTTTTATAGAAGAAGTGGATAGAATTTGATAAAATTCATACCTACTTGATTATCTGTTTACCAACCCCTAACTTCTCTCCAAATTTGAGCCAAATCGAACATGCGGTTTTAGAGATGTAGACGTATCAAGAAAAACACGTTTGCTGATATATACGAGAAATTAGTGGACATAAATCAATAAAATTGACATTACGTTACTTTTTTATTATTACCTAAATTTTATCTAACTTTGAGCCAAATCGAACTAGCCCTTTCTGAAATATTGGCATATCTAAAAAAAATAGGTTTGCGCGTGCGTAAGCGGAAGTGCTGAATGGAATTTTTAAAAAATGATATGGGCAACCCGCGTAATGCCTGAAAATTTCATGACAATCGGATGAACGGTACTAGGTGATGCCCGTCACATCGAGTTCACAACAGACAGACAGACACCGAACCAAATTTGATGCTTGATGTCTGAAACGTTAAACGCGGGTGGACATTTTCGATTCTGAGCCACAATTTTTTTTAACCTCTCGCACGAATACAATGCTTCCCTACCTTCGGTAGTGAGGAAGGACTATCTTATGCTCGAAAGAAATACTAATAATAATAAAAGGCTTAGCTAACCCGAAAGTTCGATGCCAACACCACCAATTGCTTATTACACACCTCCCTCCACCGTTCGCCGTCCAAACCCAGTCCCTTCAGATCGGCTTTAATGCAATCTTCCCACCTTCGCTTCGGTCTACCCCTCCGACGTTTACCATTCGGTACAGCAGATATTAACCTTTTGGGAATTCTCTCGTTACTAAGCCCAACAATTTTACAAGCCCATTTGATTCGCCGGGATGAAATCGCCTCAATTATATTACCCGGATATAGTTCACAAAATACGGCGTTGTGTAAGCGTCTGAAATCTCCGGTTAATTCATCCTTCTGCGGTCCGAATATACTACCCAATGCTTTATTTTCAAAAACCTTAAGCCGTTGCTCATCTCTTAACGTAAGCGGCCACGTTTCGCACCCATAAAGAACTGTGGGTAAGACAATGGTTTTATAGATTCTAATTTTTAAGTTCCGGGACAATAGGCGCGAGCTAAGTAGTTTTGTCACAGAAAAATAACAAGCATTTCCCGCCTTCAGTCTAACCTTAATCTCTTCTTCAATTTAATTTTTTCTATTTATCGTAGACCCTAGATACCTAAACTTCTCTACCTGTTCAAACACATTACCATCTATATCGATATCACCAGTAATATCGCCATTTTTACAGTTAACCATATATTTTGTCTTCCGTGTTTATTTCTAGCCCTAGTTCTTTACCGGCTTTCATTAACGTTGTCGTATTTAGTTTTATAGTTTCCACGTCTTCGCTTAACAGTACCAGATCATCAGCATAGCCTAGATAGCAGATTAGCATAGATGTTGTCCCACCCAGATCCAACCCTTTTTCGGTAAGTATTACCTCCCTAATGGCATGTTCTAATGCCAAATAGAACAGGACAGGCGAAAGGGAATCCCCCTATTTTAAGCCCGAACGAACCTTAAACTTTTCGGACAGATTATTACTGATTCTAACTTTATTGAGCATTTCCGTCAAGCACATCCTGACTAGATTTACTAGTTTTTTTGGAATCCCCTGCTCGATTAGAATATTATACAGTTTCTGAGGTCAATAGAATCGTAAGCCTTCTTGAAATCGATGTACAGCTGGTGAACAATACCGTTTTTCTATGATATTTGGCATAAAGAAAATATTTGATCAATAGTCGAACGATTCCGTCTAAATCCTCATTGGTAGTCTCCTATAATTTCCTCGGCGTATTCCGTGATTCGACTGGTTAAGATTAAAGTGAATATTTTATAACATACCGGAAGGAGTGAAATTCCTTCATAGTTATTACAATCCGTTCTCGGACCGTTTTTGTGAATCGGAATAAGAATAGATTATTTCCATTCTTCAGGTAATTTCTCATTCTCCCAGATCTTTTTAACCAACCGATGTATTTTAGAAACTCCAGCTTCCCCGCATGTCTTAATTAGTTCAGTAGGAATATTATCGGTTCCCGCTGCTTTATATGATTTTAATTTTCCGATAGCTACTTCAACTTTCTCTTTACTTGGTCCTTCTATTAATGGTTCAGCACTCTGGTACTCAGAAGGAGGACACAGATCATAATTTACCGTATTTAAAATATTGTCAAAGTGGTCCTTAAACTTATTCAATATGTCAACCGGATCGGTCAGAATATTGTTATTTCCATCCCTAATTCCAGAGGTTACGGGCCCGAAACATTTTTGTTATCTGTTTATACATTTGTACATGCCTCTTACGTTTTTTTCGATTCTATTAGTTTCTATTTCAATTATTTTATTTTTAAGATACTCCCTTTTTTATTTTTGAGCTATTTTGTCGTTTCGTTCTTTGAGGTTCGGAAGTATTCCAGATTGTCTTCGCTAGGATTACTTAGGGCTTTTAATTTAGCGGTTTTTCTTTTTTCGCACATGTTTAAGCAATCTTCATCAAACTACGGTTTGTTTTCTTATTTTTCTTTTTTCCTAGACACGAGTTGCCGACCGCTTTAATATTATCCCTGATCTCTACCCATAACTTGTCAATATCCTTGCCGTCCTCGTCAGAAAGCTCTAAGCTTCAAACCTATTTTTAACACCTAGCTCGAATTGGGTTCTAATGGATGGATTTTTTAATTTTTCCAAATTAAAATTCTCAAAATCGAAACGGTTTTCTTTTCTCTTTTTTATATTAAGTTTTTGTCGAAGTTTCGCGATTACCAATTCATGATCCGACCCACATTCTGCTCCGCGATAAGACCGTACATTAATTACTCCTAGAAATGATCGATTTGGTTTCGTGTTTGCGAATCCTATGATGTCCAAGTATATTTATGAATATCCTTATGTTTAAACGTAATTATCAGGTTTTTCGAGATGGCAAAGTTTATCAGACGGATCCCATTATCATTACTATATTCGTGCAAACTTTCTTTACCAATCGTCGAAATATAAACTTCTTCCCTTCCTACATTTGCGTTCGCGTCACCTACAATTATTTTCATGTAGTTTCGTGGTAGTTTATCATAAACCCATTCGAGTTTATCGTAAAATTCACTTTTGACTTCATCGTCACTGTCTTCGGTCGGACAATGTATGTTTATTAATGCGTTTTAAAGTAACGTCTCTGAAATATAGCTACCGAAATTCAATCACTAAAGAATTGTAGTCCCTAAAAGCGGATAGAAATCTATTCCTGATTAGAAACCCGGTACCAAAACAATGATTCCCGCTTCCTAGTACCAATTAGTGTACTTTCCTTCTCTTATCGAACCCTCCCCAGGCCAGCGAACCTCTTGCAGAGCCACGACATCCAAATTGTACCCATTAACCTCATTCGCGACTGATTTTAACCCCCCTGCTGTGTTTAAACTCCTTACGTTCCACGTACCAATATTTAAATGCCAATTTTTTAACTTGCGCCATGAATTCCCTAAAGCAGTCCCCACCCTGAGACCCGAAGGGGGACTAGTTTACCTCCGGATAATGAGCGTTTTACCTTAGGGAGATCCATGACTATTTGTGGTGTATGGTGAACTTTTTTTTATTTTATTTTTTTAAGGTCCTTCCCGTTATGACTATACGGGGTTTTCCCGGGCCAGGGGGTGTGAGCGAGGATTTAAAAGACTCCCTCGGCACCGGGACGCGAACTCGTGACAATTTTGATATGATTATTTATATATCAGGTTGCCGGGCAACGGCGGTGCTGTGCACACGCGTTAGCCCAATCGGCCACTCCGCCCACTGGTGTATGGTGAACTAAAGATATGTGAGTAGGGCGTTCAATCCTACGTCACACCCTCCAGCAAGTCTGGTGGACCCCTGCCTCCAGCAAGTCTGGAGGTCCCCTCCCTCCAGCAAGTCTGGAGGTCCCCTCCCTCCAGCAAGTCTGGAGATCCCCTCTCATTGTTGGTCAGCGAGTCCATCGGACTTAGCCGGGAGGAACTTTCAAGGAATTTCCACCGACCATCCCCATATCCGCCACCCGTGGGACGCTCCACATACGCGGTAATGAGCCCGCGCGAGGTATGCTGGGAAGTACAGGTTAAAAACGCTTGTGTAAACTGATGGAGTCATATAAAGCAGCTTTTTTGATTTCTTCTCTTTTTCGAAATTTCCTTTTAATATAAATCTGGTTATTTCAACCCTATCTTAATTGGATTAAATAACTGTTTAAACCTTTTTATTATAACAATTAATAAAACCAAAAAAAAAAAAAATATAATAATTTAACGATAAAGTAAGCAGTAGAATAACATCTGGGCAAAGAGAATGAAATAAGTGAACCAGCTGATTCCCTTCTTCGGCTCCTTCACATTTACAACATGTCACCCAAAATAACCCTAACACATATTACGAAATCAAAATTTATAACATATTTATAACGGAGGAATTATTTTGAAACTCTTTGCAGTCTCGAAATGAACTATAAATTCAAAAATGCCCTATGTCATAATAAGCACTGTGGCTATATTTGCTAATGTATATGTAAGTATTGTTTAGAAATAATAATTCTCAAGTTTTACTTTTTAAATAATATTTGGTGAAATTATGTCAAATCATCAATAAATTGTATATTTTAAAATCCTTGTTTAACTATAAATTATGTGAATGTTAGTATATATTTTGAAAAATATATACTGATATAATATTTTAATGACTCCAAACCAAAGGAAAAGTACCCACAAACATTATTTTTTGTTATTAAATTGTTACAAATTAACAAAAAAATTGCTGTTTCTTTCTGGAGACATATAATTGATTCTTTGGTATATTTAAAATTAGTTTTATTTTAAATTAAAATTATGTGGTAATAGTAACGAATGTAATTCCCTATTTTTTTTTGTTCTAAGCAGTAAACAAGGTTAGGTCCTTTATGCCTTACTGCTATCTATGATCCTTAAGATGAAACGATTTTCCTAACCTTATTGGTGAAGGGGTATAAACGAATATTGACTTATGAAATCTATTAAATTACAATGAGAAATCATTAGTTTCTCATAAATATAAGCAAATATATGCCTGTTTAGGACGAATAAGATACGTTATGGTAAAAAGATATAAAAGGGATAAAAAGAGGTTAGTTCCTATAACATTATAAATGATTAATAAATGTTTATATGATTATGTTTAAGAAGTTCTAATATGAACATAACACATATACTAATTTTACTTTGTACTAATATAAAATACAGCCAAAGCCTTTATGACAATGCCAAAGCATGTGTAAAAACCAGAGCCTCTGTTAGTAATAGCTCTCTCATGACGAAAGGTTTAAAACAGAGATGTTCAGTGTCTCCGCTTATCTTTAACATTTATGTAGAAAGGGCTCTAAGAGAAAGGAAGAACAAATGTAGAGGAAAGGGAATAAATATTGGAAATGGTTGTCTATTCAATCTCCAGGTCGCTGACGACCAGTTGCTCATCGCTTCAGAAGCAGATGTGGAATATATGATGAGAAATATTCTCCAGGAATACTCAACCTGGGGGTTGGAAGTCAGCAAAGAAAAACCTGCATATATGGCCTTTAATAGTCAAAGCGAATATGTTTAAATGGATAATTGGATGTTGGAACCTGAAGCTCAATTTAAGTATCTAGGCAGCTGAGTGAACATGACATCAACATCAGACATGGACATTGAAAAGAGCATAAGCAATGGGAAAATAATCATCAGGACCTTAAATTTATGTGAAGTAAATCAGTTCCCTAAGAAACAGAAAAAAAGATTTATAAATAGTTCCTGGAATACGTGACTCTCTATTCAGCCAAATCGTAGACAATTAACTATTGGACTATTGGAGACGATTATGTGGCGTCTCTCGCCTTCAACAAATTCCAAACAATGAAATAATTAATGAAATAACCTGGTATGAGGAAGTTAAGGAAGCAATGATGAACAGGGGTATATTGGCAGAATATTGCCAGGACAGGAGAAGATGGAAAAGACTTATTTTTGGTGAAGACATATGAATAATGTTGTGCAAGTCGTTAAAAAAATAATAACTAATTTAAAATAATATTGTACTACGAATTCAACATCAGTAAATTTGACCTACATATCTGCTTTTTACATGTTCATATAACTTCATATATGATCTTCACAAACAGAACTCCTTCGGCGATGCATCAATGGATCTAAAATTTGACTCATCATTCTTGGATGGACAACAGTAAAGATTTTTATCAATTTTAATTCGCACATGATTAATCAGAAATGACAGATATTTAAACGTTAGACAGTCATTTCTGATATAAATTACGAAGGTTCCTATATCTATCTATCAGCCCGATAGTCTTAATCAGTGGTTTCCGACTAAAACCCACAAGCACCTCCAATCCGCACCGCGAAAGTTTCTTTGATTACATATTAATTTTTTTTTAAAACCTATTTAAAAATATGGCATTTAGCAAAACTATAACATTTATTGTTTGAATTCTTTTCTCTTAAAAAGTTCATTTCCCAGCTGAAGTCTCATTTATGGAACAAGATTTTTTTTTCTTCAACAGCCATGGCCCGCAGGACTTTAAGTGGAGGTCTCAATATGCCCTGTGGAACTTAGTAGAGGTCTTTATGTGGCCAACAGACCAAGATTTTTGTAGAGCCTAAATGATGTAGTTTTAGCATAGTTGACATAGAGACACAAAACTGTATAGATTCAAGGAAAAAAAAAAAACATCCTAGAATTTTTATTTATATGAATTATTTCCTTTGTGACTGAAACTTTTTCAGATTGATCACTAACTTAGCACCATGTTTATCCAAAAGAAATATAGGCATAACTGATTCACTTAATTCACTCAAGTAAATGAGAGATTAGAATTGGACGGTGAAGCATTTTTAGTAACACCTCTGACGAGAGCTTTAGGGATTGTATCTCTGTAGTTCATGTGTTTTTAAAGTTTTTTTTTTTACTTGTTTATATTTTTATCTAAGATTCGCTCTATTTTATATCACGAGCTTCGATGAAATGTTTTAAATATTTGTTACCATCATCCAAGAGCGTCGTGAATGTGAATGCTTTCCTTCACTACTGACATCTGACTAAATACCGTCATTCAAATGGTCCATATCTCCTCCATCCTTCGTAATTGAAGCTAGGATTCCATTTCTACGATAATAAGTAATGGAAGTAATGATCATGCCTCCTCTCTTGCCTCGATGGCGAAAAAGTATTGATGATAGGAGATAACACAATTTATTTAAAATTTCATATTACTAACTCTACCTACATTTGAGGAAATTATTACTTTTTCTATCATTTATTTTTCGCAAAAAGAAAAGTTTTAGTTTTTCTTTAATTTTGTTCGAATAATTTCTCAATATTGACGGCCAAGGTAAACATATACTTCTACAGTAATAATATGTTTAAGCTTCCTCAAAAATAAAATTTTTGTTATAGAAAAATGCGCCTTTGATTGTTGGAGATAAGGATTCGGATCCAGATTTGATGAGATTTCTGGGTGCTCGGCTGACCACAAACTACCCAGCATGTGGATCGCCGTAAGTAAAAGTTCTATCTTTATCGTTATACAACAAACATCTTTAATTTCCTGTTTTATATATATATATATATATATACACATATATATTTGCTTAAGAAATAAGTGCATAAAATTGATATATGAAGTTGAAGTGTTCGTAAAGGTATCATTTAAAAACGAGCAATTTGGTACATACAAAAAACTCCACGGAAAAAAAATCATAGAAATTATAATATTTTGGGTTAGAGAAAACGACAGAAAAAATGTTGGAAATATTCAAGAGTTAACGAATCGGAGGCAGTGGAGACTTTATAAATAATGCTTTTATTCATAATGTTGCAAATGGCATCTAAAATACAGAATAATATATTATGGATATATGAGTTGACTACATCAGTTCACTCCAGGTCTCCAACAGTGAAGAGTGTGACCCAGAAAATGCAACTGCATGAGTGATTTGGTCTTAGGAGATGGGGGTTATATGCTCAGGAATAGTAGGGGAGGTGAATCAATTCTGGGCGGTCTCGGAAGCGTGCGAATGAAGTTAAGAATTGATATCCTTATCTTTTAGAATTGATATGAAGTCTGTGAGAAGGTGCTCGTTTGTTGAAGACGGTTATTGTTCCCTAAGTCATGATAAGTGCCATCTGTCCAGTCAGTACATTCTAGATAACTATTTCTAAGCTATCAGAGATAGCTTGACCTGGCTATCTAGGGCTTTTATGCTTTGATAAAGGTAAATGCATGATTAAATGATTCAATAAAATAAAAGTTAATATTAATAGTTATTACGGATTAAGTCCATTCCGTAACTAAGGAAAAATATCGACTGCAAGCTCGAACCGAATAATTTTATAAACCGTAAAAAAACTCGTAAAATTCCATAAAATATCAGGTTTTAAATTTATCTGAGTTATTACATCAAGGAAACTTTGATTTTGTTCCATTTGTCGTAGTAATTGTTCAATAAAATACACACACACACATACGAGACCATTTTGCGGGACTTTGTTATTAAGACTCTGACTATATATTTATTAAGAATACTTTCCCTTACTATGTATTACACATATAGGTAAATGAAAGTAAAAACAGGTTATCATGTTGTGCTATTAGTTCCGCGGGATACTCCCGTGTCTTGTTTTATTTAATGCTGTTCCCCATGCTCACAACTTTTAAAAGATTTTGCGGTGCATCCTACTTTTTGGCGAATTGAAGATCTTTGGTTAATCATTTATATTTGGATTGAACATTCTTGTTTCTTCGATTTAGTAAATTACGTTTAAAATGAGGCAAGAAATGGATGAAAGAGTTAATTACCTGAACAAGATTACCTGCTTTTATCACATTGAATCGTCAAACCACCGTGAATTGAGATTAAAAAATCTCAATATGTTTTAGTAAATAAAAGTAAAGGTATCCATCATTTATCAAGGCAATATTCCGTAATGCTGATATCGGACACATTATGAATAATCCTTTTTACCGACGATGTTTTTATGGACGTATTATTATATTTTTCTATTCTGACGATATCCTCTTATAATATTCGAGAAACATAAGCCTTTGTTTTGTAATCACCCAAAGGTCAAGTCGTAATAATTTTTCAATTTTGTCTTCATTATTTAATGATAAATATTAATACTTTAAGTAATATTCTAAAATTTTAATTATATTTTGGCACATAATTATCTTCCTCCTAATAAAAATAGTAAATTTTGTAACTTATTGTGTTTAAAATAAAGTCAGGCGTGAGAAAGGGAATCGCTTTATTCCCTTTTATCGCTTTATTATTTTCATAAAAGGGTGCTGCCCAATTATATTGCGTTGGGCACTTGTCTGATAGCCGGTCAGGACGAAACCTCCCTTGTTATCTAGTGATACATTACATAACCTTCTTTCTTATCTCGTGCAAGCTGTGAATTATTCCATTTTTTATTTTTGTTCCATTTGTGTGATTTTCTTCAAATTATGGATGTTATTACATTCTGTGAATTGCCGTCTTCAGAAGAAGTGGCTATCGAATATTTTTAAAACGCCGGGTTAATTCCAAAAGTAAAATTGTGGGAAAAACGTCATCAACTGAAGTTAGACAGGAAGACGAAATTGAGATGCTTTCGTACCACTTGTAACAAAAACGTTTTTATAAGGAAAGTAACGTGGTTAGAGGGGCCGAGGATTTAATTGTTAATGGCTTTAAAATTAATTTATGGGCGGTGCCATAATTTAACAACGATACAGTGGGATAAAGAGCAACTTAAACTAATCAAGGCAACTGTGATAATGTGGAACAAATTTTTAAGAGAGGTTTGTGGCCATAACATGTTATACAGGTCAAGTAAAAAAAAAAATGGAGGGCCTGGCAAAGTCGTTGAAGTAGACGACAGTCTTTTTTCTGAAAGAAAAAATCATGCAGGGAGAGTTCTACCTGAGCAATGGATGTTTGGCGGAATTTTCCGAGAATCAGACGAGAGTTTTATCGTCAAAATAAGCGACAGAAAGGCAACAGACTTATTACAAGGTATTAAAAACAATATACAAGAGGGAAGCACTATTTATTCTGACTGTTGGACAGGATACAACACCCAACAACTGAATGAAACAAACTATAATAATTTTTTATTATTACATTTATTTTTGTCTATTTGATATATGTGTTGTAAAATTAAAGTGTTTTCTTATTGTTGTGGGAATTATTACATTTCTTTTTGTTTATTTCAATTTCAAATCAAACTGTTTTGTTGTTATTACTTTATTTATTATTTTGTTATTATTATTTTATTGTAACCTTAGACCTAGACAATCATGTAATCTAATTTATTTCCAATACCAGACAATTGTCATCAAATTGTACATTGTAGTTATTCTAAGAGGACTTAGTCCCAGAATAACATTTATTTTTATTTTTCTTCTTACATTTCTTTTCGTCTATTTAATATATATGTTGTAAAATAAAAGTATTTTTTATTACATTTGTTTTTGTTTTTGTTTACAATTTCAATAATATCAATATAATACAATAAATATGAATAGGAAGATAGGAATTATCAGTGCCTTATCAGAATTATCAGTGTTCAGGTTATAAATATTGACAAATAGCAGTCGGTAGCGACCTGCTATCAGACAAGTACCTTGCTACAAACACAGCATATTTAGCAATAAATACAATGGACAATTCTTAAAACAAATAAACAATATCATCAATATATGTGAGCATAGTAAACAATTTTTTTTATGTAATATTATTTTTTCTTATTTTTTTCCACCAACCGGCCAGCAAGGACCACGCGAATATCATTTCCGTTTCCTCTTCAGTCCCTCAGCCTTCCTCATACTCCAATACTCCCTCATCATCCTGGACTGTTCCTCTCACTCTTCCTCGTCTCTCCCTCCCACCTATAAGAACTCCAACCCCTTTCAGTTTTTCCCTAAAAAGCTCTCTATCCAAGCAATCTTTATTCGTGATTTTTAGCCTGCATAGTTCCTCTTTTATTTGTTTTACATATCCCCCCATACTTTTATAGCGGCAAACTTTTTCAAAAATTTTCTTGTTCAGTCTTTCACTATTTATCCTGAACATGTGCCCGTAGAACCTCAGTCTTCTGGTCCTGACGACTGTTTCCAAATCTTCCAAATTTCTGTATATTTCTTTATTGGATTTTAGCCTGTATACCTCTTGAGTTACTTTGGGTCCGTGAATCCTCCACAGAATCTTCCGCTCAATCTTCAGAATTTTCTCTAGGCTCGGAAGGCTGTTTCCATACCATATAATATTACATGTCTTGCCGCTGTACAGTAATGCCTTATTTTTGCATTTCAGGACAAATTTTTTTTGTTGTAAGCATTCCTGGTGGCGAAGTTCAGTCTTTCCAGTTTGGTTATTCTTCCTCGATTGATGTCTTATCTGTTCCGTTACTACATATTATCTTTCCTAGTTATTTAAACTTTTTGATCACTTTTATTTTCCTATATTTTGTGTCCAATATTTTCTTGGTGAAGTTGTAATCTGTTGTCATAACTTCTGTTTTTTCATAAGAGATATGTAGTCCCGTTTTCTCGAATATTTCTTTCAGGGTGTTTACCTGTTTTATGGCTTCCTCTTCTTTTATTAACAATCTATTTCCCTTTCTTTTCCTTCTCTTCCCTTATACATTTTCCTTATTCCTGCTCATATTTTCTCCTCTCTCTCCCTAACCTAATTCATACTTTCAGATGACAAATTATATAATAATGACAAGTATCTGTATGTATCTGTTATTTCAGTTTTTTTTTTTGTTTTTTTTTTCAACAGGCCTATGTACGTGTTGCACGCTCCACCAAGAACCGTCTTCGACAACTTGGAGAAGCGTGGGTATTGCCTTATGAGCGCACAGACGATTCAGGAGCATTCCGTTTGGATCCTGGCTAGGCCGAGGGTTCCCGATGATGACAAAGTTGAAATTTCCAGAGGAGGGCCGAATGACAAATCAATTCAGGCATTTGATGTGAGTAACATTTTATCCGTTTATTGTTGATTATTATCATATTTTTAGACTGTAGAATCGGCAGTAAAATTATACTGAATTGGGTACTTGGGTAATCAAATAATCGCGTGAATTTTAGCTGCAATAGAACTCAAGTGATAAATAACGTATATAAATTTCAGATTTCACTATTTAAAAATATGAAAAAAAGCTTCATATTTAGCAAAAAATCTTGAATTCACACTTAGTTACAAAGGTGTGGTGGTGACTGGGGGTGTGGATCGAGTCTACTGTAGCATTTGATATGTGCCAAATACTATGTTCTTTAACCTCTCTCTACTATAATTTATGAAAATGAATTTATTAAATCTAATAAAGTGAATATAGAAGTTTTGAAGCTGAAAACATTAGTACAAGCTACTAAGTATAAGTCCTGGCAGGCCATGATTCGGTACTCTAGTTACGTGGCTTCGTCCCCACCAATTTTCTTTAACGCTAATTATTCCTGTAAACATTTATCAGTGAACACTGTCAATTTTTGAGATTTTATTGTTATTAGCTAATCTTCATGGACAAATAGAATTAAAAATTCATACAATACTCAATTATAACATGATATGCAACTTATTGATCTACAACTTAATTATAACCATATATGTCAATTTATTCATCTGCCCAACGTTTCGGACTCTTTGTCCATCTTCAAAGAATTTTTTTTTCACTTCTTAATGTTTTTTCTTTCTCCTCTTCTTCTTCAAATGTGAATGTGATGATGAAAATTTACTAAGTGTGGAATAAAATTTTTAAAAAAGACAATTTTTTTTATAACATGCATTAGAAGAACAGGGGATAAAGGAAAAACATTAAGAAGAGAGAGAAACACGCCAAAATTGCACGGCTACCCATTTGTGTTGAGTTGTTAAATAACATAGCATACTCATTAATCAATAGATAATACTGTACAAAAATATAAGCGAGAGTTAAGTCGGATCATTGGAATATATATCAGACATGGCAAAAACGGTTTATAGGATCAAATAAGTGAAGGCCTAGATCAATATATGTGGTGATGGAAGATTCCCAACCAGTCTAAAATAGTTGTTTCTGTCATCGCCTGCATTTGCTTCCTTCCAACACCGAGCCTCTGCAAGAAGTTACTTGTATTAAGAGAGATTCTTCCCCTACTTCTGAAACATAGCCCTTTAACCGAGAGTTCTCTTTCGCCGAATTCATCTCTATAGTTTTCTTTCGGGTAAGGTATGCATTTCCTATAAATTTCCTGTTTATCTTATAGTTCCTTCCTGTACCTGGAAGTCCTGATCCTGATCTTTGGTTTCAAATCTGATCGTGAGATCCACAATGAATGCCTCCTTTTCCGTCTTATTGAACGCCAATATGTCGACGAACCTTGTTGAGCCTTCTATATCCATGCAATAAACTTCGAGCAAACATTTATAGTTCTTTATTTCAAGGAATTAGTCTATACGATGCTTTATATTATTTTCGGGTGACTAATTCATTCAAAGCATGTTATACGGACAATTTCCCAAGACATGAGCTAGGATTTCTTAAAAAAGAAATGCCTCTGAAGATGGATAAATTAGTGCTAATTATAGAGTTAATAGGAGAGTTCCTGTACAATTCGTAATCTCCTAATACTAAAATAAAATAAAATATGAGTCACTAAACACTTTTTATATAATAGACTGATTATATGGTAGTATTGTTTTAACAATTTTTAAATTACAAATAAAAATACCAGGACGTAACAAAATACATTACAATAAATTGAATTCGTAAATATTTTACATATGTAAATACACTTTTACCGAGTTGTATAACAATGAATAAAACAATAAAAAACATGAATGATAAGTTTAAATTAAAATTTATAAAGGCACTAATATAAATTACGATATAAACATACATATAATATTGAACTACACCTCTTCATATATATTTGTTAGGCAAGTAGTGATTGGTTTCATGTATTTAATTTTTTTTTTTTTAATTTCAGGAATCTCAGGATTCTAATTCTAATTCTCCAAGCAGAGCCACTAGTATTGGCAGACCACGGAGCGTAAATTTTAATTCTATATATTTTTTTTCTTCTTGAAATAATAGAAGTATTGTTATAGTGAATATTGAATGGGAAGACGGTCATGGAAGAAACATAAAATATAGTATAGTAACATATTTTCTACTTTATCGGAAGCGTCTTTTGGTTGTTGCAATTTATTATAGATTATAATTTAATTAAATACAATCGGCAACACTTTTTTCATATTCTGCACATAAAAAAGAAATCGAATGGAATATAATAACCTATAAATTCAAGGAAAACAAAAAAAAATTAGATATTTTTTTTTTTTTAAATATAGAGAATATTTTTTCTCGATTCATAAGGACTATTGAAAAGAAAGCCGAAACATGTGGTAAATATTAGTCGATTTATTTACTATGAAATTGGTGACCCACTAACTGTGTCTTCCCATTGTAAGTATTGATTGAACTTATTGAGTGGTGATTTTCGATTTGCTGCGGGTGCGGGAATATATTTATTTTTAGTGGATTAATAATCGACTGTGTTTAGTCACAATTAACAATATATATATATATATATATATATATATATATATATATATATATTTATGTTTATAAAATTTGTTCACAAGAATCATTAATTCCAAGTTTTTATTCCATCAAAGCTTAATTTCGGACTCCTTTGAAACATTTTAGTATAAGTGCCCACCCTCTGTATACGAGGTACTTTAACAAAATGGAACTTTCAAGAAAGCTATGACCAGTTCCTATGACTTCGAACATTAATTATGAGGTAACTTCTTGTTAGTTTGAGATAAAACAAGAATTGGTTTACATTACAAGACCTAATCTGTTATTTTGGTAAAGTTTGGGCATCGATTTTGGAAGGTGAATGTGTCATTATCTTCCTTTGAAAGACGCATGCCATTTGGTGGAGTAGCCAATAATGTAAAAATAAAGTATTGCGTAGAATATTCGGACCGATGAAGGATGAATTAACCGGAGAATTCAGATGGTTAAACAACACCGAATTGCGTGAACTATATGCCATTGATAAAGATGGCGATTATTTTTTTGTTTTTAACTAAAGAACTCATACCAAAATTATCAGTAGTTTTAAATTATGAGGAAGTTAAAATTAGATCGTTGATAAATTTTCTTAAAGCTAGCGATTTGCTAAACAAAATTTAGTTTTTATTTATTTATTATTATTTTTTAAAATAATTTATTATAGACATTATTTTAATGAAGATTAGATAGGTGTTCATGAGCTCGTGGCTTTAAATAACAACAACATAGGCCGAAACATCTAAACAGGTTAAAGCAATATACCTTATTGATTGTTTCTTTCCTGACCGTACGTTCCGTAGTCTTCTTTTTCATAATAATTTTTATTTATAATTTCATTCAAACAATCTGAAATAACAATATTTTAGTGGAATATTGCAAACTTCTTTACTTCAAATAGATTTCTGTGCATGACATCGCCAACTAAAGATCGGTATGTAGATTATAAGGATTATTTTATCATTGGCATTATAAAATAATCCCATTTATTTTTCTCGCGCTTAACATTATATTGAGATGCTAAATTTCTTCACTGTACTTTACATCTTATTATTTTGAATGAATTAGAACTTACACCAGATTAGTATGAAGTCCCACATTAAGATTTCTCGAGAACTCAACAAGAAACCTTCAATTTTCGTAAAAATTACTAGAAATAAAATAAACAACTATAATTGTTAAGATCTAGTATACTTTCGAGAAAGTTGATTTTAATTCGTTCTAATATTCGTTGAATTGTTGTTTTAGCCAACCGAAACTCCTCGGATCAAGATCTCGGTAAGCTGCAAAAAATTATTTTCGCTCTAGCCATAAGATATTTGAGGTATATTATATACTAAACTTTTCTTCTTTTAATAAATTGGCAGCGAAGCTCATCGAGACAGGAGGAAGATAAGGCTCTGGAAGTAAGTTAAAGTATAGTAAATTAATAGCATTTATTACCTTTAGGTATATTTTGGTCTAACATTCAATTTTAGTTTGAAAATTGTAATGTATTATTAATATAAGAGCCCTCCAAAAAACAAAAGAAAAAGTGTGGCTTACTTTTGGTGTTATTATACACGCGTAAAATGGCACAACCATGTACCACTTTATGAATGTTTTAACAAGCTCATGTAACAACAAGATTCACTAAGAAACTTAGGAGTTTTACTCAGCACGTCTCAGCTTCCGATTCACATATAGGGGATTATGAAAAAGTTGTGTGATAGGGCGAATTTTTTTTTTCTCATTGTTACATTTTTGTATCTGAATTTTTCAGAACTGAGTTCTTACGCATGACTACATCATTACTCACAACTTCTACTCCTGCATGAAATTCATTTTTATATTATAATCAGTCTGCTGTTCGCTGTTATCTATGTGCTCCTGTATTTCTTATTCCATACCTCCTTCTCGTCACGGTGGCCTTCCAGGAGCTAGTCGTCTTCTTATGAAGTGTTAACTTCAGTGATGAAGTGTGCAAGACCTACCGCTTCTTTTCACCCGTACACAATTTCCTTAGAGTACGGGTAGGTTTCTTATTAGCCGTGAGAAATCGTTCTCTGTGAGAACATAGAGATCTTTCTCCCTCAGTAATTTGGTTCGTAGCCACTCGAAGGCAGTTCGATAATTTGCTCAGCAGTCTTGGAGCTTATCACGAAAGCCTCCATGCCCTGTTAAGAATTGTGAGATCCAGTAATCCGAGGGGATCCACTTGGCTTTCAAACGTGATAGAGCGGTGCGAAAGTACTTCCTCAAGGTGGTCCCTTCCTAGCCTGTCACCCACCGTTGACTCCACTCTTCAATTGCATCTTCCCGGGTTATAGTTTCCCATTTTCTGAGGTTTTCATCAATCTTCACTTTGAGATTACCTTGTAGACCTGCTGAACCTGAGTTAAAGGAAGTCTGGGTAACCAACAGACTACCTTCCACCAGCTGTACAAACTAATTTTAGAAAGTGTTCTGTATAACCTTGTTGAAAAATAGTGTCGTTTGTTAAAATAAAGAGTTTGGTACTTAATTCAATATACAAGACTTTTTTTCCAATTAAAACTACTAAAAGAAACAAATAACTATATCTAAAAATGCCAACGACAGCACAAGATGACCAAATTTTAGAAAGAACACCTAGGCTCATTTCATCAATACCCAAATCTATTAGAAAATTATGACACGGTTCAACAACAGGAAGGACACCAACAAAAATGTCCAAGAACTCCTTTATAACAGCTTAAGCTTCACCGAAATCTCAGGTTCGTCCTACGGTCTCCTGTGAACCCATATCCATTGCTCTCCTGGACCTCTCTTTCTTTGTCTCATGTTTTGACATTATCCATGTTTCCAATCACAATTATTGTGGGATGGTTGAGTGCCATATTAGCGGTCCTTCGAAGTGAGACAATATTAATCTTTTGAAGCTAATCCAATCTCGGAAAGGAAATCGGTATAAGAGAGGTCTTTTGTATGCCAGACATCCTGTTTCTCAATTTAGTGCCTCAAAAATATTGTTAATTTTTTTTATTTGAAAAGTAATAGCAAGTAATTGATAAGATCTAGTATACTTTCGAGAATAAACGTTGATTTTAATTCGTGCTAATATTCGTTAAATCGACAACGGTAAGCTGAAAAAAAAATCTTTTCGGTTTAACCATAATATATTTGAGGTAAATGACATACTAAACTTTTTTTCTTCAAATAGATTTCTGTGCATTGCATTGCCAACTAAAGATTGCTATGTAGATTATAAGGATTACTTTCATTAGCATGATAAAATAATCCCACGTTGAGATCCCCTGAGAACTCAACAAGAAACCTTTAATGTTCGCAAAAACTACTATTAATATAATAAAAACCAATAATTATAATTGTTAAGATCTAATACTTTCGAAAACGTTGATTTTAATGTGTTCTAATATTCGTTGAATTCTTGTTTTAGCCATCCGAGCCTACTCGGATCACGACAACGGTAAGCTGAAAAAAAATCCTTTTCGCTGTAACCATATGATATGTGAGCTATATCACATACTAAACTTTTTTTCTTTTACTTAATTAGGAGCAAAGTTCACCGAGGCAGGAGGAAGATAACTTTTCGGAAGTAAGTACAGTTTAGTAAAAAATGAATAGAATTTATTATCTTAAGGTATATTTTGGTCTAAAATTCAAGCATATTTTAGCCTGAAAATTTTAATATATCATAATTATAAGATCCTTCCAAAAAAACAAAAGAAAAAAGAGTGTGACTAAAATTTTAGTGTTATACACACGTAAAATGGCACAACCATGTACCACTTTATGAATGCTTCAACAACAAGCTCATACCAATATTGACTAAAAGACTTCGGAGTTTTACTCAGCTTCCGATTCACATATCGCAGAAAATGAAAAAGTTGTTTAATTGTGTGTGTGTGTGTGTGGTAGTAGAGGGCGAATTTTGTTTTTTTAGTGTGTTGGATAAAACTGACAAGGAGAATTTACTGTCAGTGGGTCTCAGATTTAAACCAATTCTTTTTCCGGTGATACTTCATCGAAAAATATTAGACACATGTACCAAAAATCAAGGGCCCCTGTAGATGAGAAAAAAAATTACATAATTTGAAACAAAATTATTTTTGCCTTTGCTTTCTCCAGATTTTTAGGTTATTATATGGCAATTGATTACTTTTTTTACTAAATAAGAAAATATATTGATTACTATATTAAATAAATTATAACGTATCGTAAATTGCAAAACCAAAAGGCACTTCCAGTAAAGTAGGCTAAGTTAATTTTTGTAATGAAAAATCAAGTTAGATTCATTTTTAGTGTCCTCTAAAACTCTTAAATACTATTTTTTATAGAATTAAAAACTTGTAACTTTTAGTAATTTATTTTCATAGATTCGTCGTAAACCTATGACTTCCTGTCCTGTATCCTTTAATAACACCCCACTTATCCCTGTTGAACAAATCCGATACCTAGGACTCCACCTGGACAAACATCTCACTTGGAATCCTCATACTATACTGAAACGACAAGAAACAGCACGACGTTTTCGCTTATTCCAACACTTACTAGACACACTATCTAAGTTTCCAATTTATTACAAAAGATTCATTTACATGACTATAATAACACCGATTTGGACTTAAGCAGTTGAGCTATGGGGCTCCACTAACCATCGAATTCCTCTCGTCTCCAATCCCTACAATCCAAAATCCTCAATGCTTCTTACTTTATCACAAATAGAATTATCCTTAACGACTTAATGTTATTTATGTTTCCGATTTGGTACAACCCACATATCTTCTTGCATAATGAACTTGAGTTACCCAACAAGCGTTTTTATGTGATTATATTTCTGTGTGCACATTTACTTGATGTTTATATTAATACAGTTGTAAATATCATAATTTTTTTTATTTTAAATTTCTTAGATAATTTCTCTCCGATTTTTAATCTAAAGTTAACTTTTTATTTCGTTCTGCCTTTCCTTTTAGGCTATACGGAGTTTTCCCGGGCCTGAGGGTGAGGGTGGAGAATTAATGGCAGAATTAAAAGTATCCCCCTCCCCCTCTCCCTGCACCGGGATTTGAACTCGTAATTATGTCATCTAATGATATTCAATCATGTCGCACAGCAGCACACGCGTTAGAATTTGGTTCCATTGGACCCGCCACGATACGATAAGACTAATGTTCAAGTCTATAAGATACACCTATCAAACACCTGTGAATCATTTTCATTCATCTTTTCATATTTAGCATCCATTTAATTATATTGTATGAACCCAATATACATCAAAAATAATAATTCCATCTCTTTAATATTGTTTTCTAATTAATAATTTTTTGTTTAACTTGTAAATTTGTAGTCATACCTGTCAAAAACAATAATGGCAATCAGTGAATGAGATATACGTTACAAAATATAATATAAAATAGCCGTGAGGGGTAGCTGTACCCAGCGGCATCTCCTTCTGACGTGAAATCTACATTCATTATTAGGTGAGGAGATCCCTCATCCAGCTCCTTTGAGTCTTTTACGGTCCTTACCTGCCATTCGTGTTGTGGCCACGTTATTTACGAGTATGTTAGGATGCCCCAGTAAGTTGTCATTGAATCGTTTGGGTTCATATGTGTTCGACAGCTAGCAGTCGGCGTATGAAGGTCAGTTTGTAAGGTTATGTTGCTAACGTACCATACAGATTTGAAGTTTTTTTATGTGAATCTTTTTAGTTGTTCCAAATATCTGTGATGCTATACGTAATTCCTAAAAAATTTAGTAAGTAATTGTTTATACTTAATTTCTGTCTAAGTTTTAGTTTTGAGTGCTTTCCGAGAAGTGAATTTAAAAGTCTTAGTCTTTGATTTAGTGTTTTTATTTTTTTCGTATAAAGAATTATGTGTTAGTGTTGTTTTGACTAGTATGGCAGTGCTTCCGTGTGAAAGACCGTCTGGATGGTCAGCTCTGTAAATTTAATTTAAGTATAAGACCAAAAAGGGGTTGGATGAGGTTATTAAGACCACTAATTAAATGTATTATCTCGCCTGATTCAGTTTCATTAGGAGGGGCCGATTGGGTAATGCACCAACTCGCATCTGTACGTCACTGTTCATTGTTTGGTGCTGGAGATGGTTGTTGCTGCCTCTTCTACTTCATTGAACACGGTCTTGATTGAAGTGAATAGGGGTGCTTAGGCTGATGAAGAAGCAGAAACTCATCGAGCACTGGAGGCGTAATATTGGAGGCATCTGCAGAATATGATACCTTATGCGTCTTTTTCTCAGCTTTTTAAATGTTTCACAACCTCTGTAATTAACAGGATGAGATCCGTGACATTTGACACATTTTGCGGCGCTGTTTCTCGTCTTTTCGTGCATGTGGTGCTTTCATGGCCCATGCCATATCTTACACACTTAGGCGGATGGTTACAGCATGTTTTGGTATAACCACACTGCTGAAATCGGACGTACTGTGGAATGATCTTTTTTTTTACGTGGTTCTTCATTTTTGACGTGCGTATAGTACAAGAATTCCATACCAAAAATATTTTCATTATTAGAAACGTCTACAACATTAGAAACGGGGTTTTGAATCTATTAATTAAGTCCACGAAATTTGTTACCTCATATCCGTAATTGGCCAACTCTTGTTTTATTATACTTACAGGTGTGGCGTAATGTAAATTTTTACTACTACTCGAGGGTTTTTATCTTCCAGAAGCTGCTAGGTGTGGAAATCAGCACCACCTTTTCCCAGACTTGTCACTAACCTACGATATTCTTTTACACTTTCAGGATAAATACTAACTCCTATTATAGAAAATTTCCACTTAAAGCTATTAGAGCGAGCTTATGAAGATAGGTTACCAGTGTTTTGCATCATTTAAGTGTATTGGTGGGGAATTAAAATTAACTGGTCTAGTTGCTGGCTGAACATCATCCTCAGTCTTCGACAAAAGTCCATATACCTATTTGTATTAGTAATACCATTCACCTTCATAAGGTGCGCGGGTCTTTTTCTCATTGCGTTTTCTCCCACACATAAGCTCCCAGTACACAGCTTCGTGCTGCGTTACATTGTTATTGTCTATTTCAATTGATAAACCATTTGCAGCCGACGATTCCGTCATTTGTTTCTTTTAAGCTGAAAAACTCGCTTCACTGATATTTTCAATTCCAATTATTGTACACTTGCACATCTTACAAAAAGGGAAGAAAATTAAGTGTTTGACGTTTAGTTGTCTCACTTCTAGCTAATGATAAAACTTTTGAAATATAGAAGAAAAAAATTACCTCTTTAACCTTCAATCACTAACCATATCTAATAAATATTAATAACAATATCATTTATTCGCTATGTAATTCAAAATACAGTAGAAAATGATAATAATAGCTATTTAAATATTATTGTTAACAACTAATAATTATTATTGCGATTTAGATATAGAATACACTTTCATTAACATAGGAAAATAAGAAATGGCTTTCAATGGTCACTTTACTACACATTCAATGGTCATTTTAGTACACAAAAATTATAAATTAAAAAATATTATAAAATATTATTAATTTTATTTATTAAATATTTAAAATATTAAAAATAAAATATTTTTGTATCTAGGTCATTATTACCTCAATTCTACGATATAATTAAATATTACTTGACTCTGCTCATTACTTTAAGTTACATGTAATTATTCAAAGTTATACACTTATATTAAAAAAAATAGAAATTTCATTTTAACAAAAATGATCTTGTTTTAAATAAAATTTATATTGTATATTTTAATCCATAATAATTATATCATTATTTAAAAACATCAAAATATTACCAAATTAGTTAAAATGTTAATTCACATTTTGTTTTTTCAACCCCTATCAATCATAAATGAAATTATTCAAAACATTTTGTAAAAATATTTGTTTTTATCTATTGATGAATTACGTTTTTTTAACTTTATATCAATACTATTTTAATTAAATATATTAAATCATTATGCAGGGATATATTAAATCCCAACCAGTTGTGAACCAAAGGTTTTTTTCTCATAATAGGATTAGAAACAACTGAGTATCGTTTAATTTAAAATATATGGTTTAAATATCTTTAAGTTATCGATTATTTATTTTGCAATTTGTTTCAGCAATTATAATTATAAATTGTAATTCATACATAACATTAATAACTCATTAAATTATTCATTTTAATCCATGACTATTGCATCATTGTTTGAATAAAAATATAAAAAGATTACCAAATGAATTAACATATTAATTAATTAATTTACTTTTCATTTTTTCAGTTCCTGTCAATCATTAACGACATTATCCAAACATCTCTGTAAAATAAATCTATTTTTCCCTTTTTATTAATTGTATTTTTCTATAATTTATATTAATATTATTTAAATGAAATATATTAAATAAACACGTAGATAGAAAGGACTATCGTAAGACAGACTCATGCCTAGATCTGTGTCTTTTCCTTAAAACAGTTCCGTAAATTTTACTATTGGTGGTTTTTGAGGCGCTGGACAGATATTTCTTGAGTATCCTGGTATTCCAAACCAAGTATTTCCATTCTCTCTATAAGACTAATAGCTGTGTCACTTCT